AATGTTGTACTAAAAAAAAACAGAGACAAAAAAAAAGAAGAAGAAGAACCACTATATTTTTATTGTGAGGCAATTATTACACCCTCGTTTCTCTATAAAAATTATTTACAATTTTATAACTTTTTTAACCCACGACTTTTTTATTCGAGATAAATGCTTTAACGAGTTGAATTAAGCTCTGATTGATTATAATTTTATGTTTAAATATCTTTGTTCGAAAAAACAAAAAGACATCATCTAGGATTTTCGTTTGGAACTTAACGTAAATATTTTCAAATTATAATAGTACATTATATAATATCATATACCTCTACATCCACTATACTTTTATTGTTAGGCACAATTACACCCTCATTTCCATATAAAAACTGTTAATAATTTTATAATTTCATGTTTAAATATTTTTGGTCAAAAAAAGTCATCACGTGATGAAAACTATCATGTAACAACACTACAAGAATTTTCAGCAATGTCGACGAAAATTTTTCCGATACATTTATTTTCATCGGCAAAAACTCTCACCATTTTGTATTTTCTTCAAGAACACTCCCGACGTTTTACATTTTCTTCGAGAATTCAAGTTTTTCTCAACACATCTCCCAATACTTTTATGATTTTTTCCGATGTTTTCTAGAAAAAAGTTACATAATTAGGGTTAGCAATTACACCCTCCTTTCTATGGAAACACCGTTTACGATTCTATAATTTCATGTTTAAATATTTTTGGTTGATAAAGTCATTATTGGGTGATGAAAAGTATGCCTATTATATGTAAATTTTTTCTTTGAATAAACTTCCACTAGGAGAATTCAATGGAAGATATTTTCCTCTAGAAAGAGTACTAAAAGGAACACTATTTAATGTATTAATGCATTACTTTTTCTTCACATAACGTGTTTTGTGATAATGAATTTTTCTTCATTTATTGTACTTGATATGATTTTCTATATCCAATTATGAACTATTTTAATGATATAAATAATAATCAATGAGAGTAACATATCTTCTAACATTTTTTATAATTATTTTTTGGGTTTATAATATAAAGTGTGTGAGCTAAGGAATCTTATTATATTTTTAAATACACGATTTGAACACTCTTTTGGATGCTTGAAATTTGAAAAAGACAAGTTCAAAGTCCGTATTACTATTAGTCTTTTCTCGAGAAATAAATAAAGATATTAATTCTAATAATTCAACTTCTTTTAACATTTTCTTCGAAAGAGGGGCTTTTTATTAAATTTAAGAACCCATTTTGATAAAATTAATGTTTTTTTTTTCTCTTGTTTCTTGTTTGCTGTTTAATAAGAAATAAAAAAATTAAAATATTATTTCAATCTTAGTTTTAATTTATTCTGACTCCTATATTTTTATTAGGTTAAAAAAAACATTTGATCCCTTTACTTTCATTAAAGTAATAATTTATTCCTTGAACTTTAACTTATGACGATTTAGTCCCTATCATTTATAATTTGTAACAATTTAGTCCCTATTGTAAAAAATTATTAAAATTAAGTGTCAATTTTATCGTATAACAGTTTAATCTTTGTAATTATAAACATATTTGTCCCTCTTTAGTTTGTCAATCTATATATATAAAAGAAATTTAATAAAAAAAAAATTTAAGATAAAGACTAAATTGTTACCAAATTTAGATTACAATGACTAAATTGACTAAATTGTTACCAATTTGAAAGTACATAGACTAAATCGTTACAAACTAAAAGTTAAAGAGACTAAATTGTTACTTTAGCCAAAAAAGCGACCAAAAATATTTTTTAACCTTTTTAATATGTTCATTCATTTTAGCTCATGCACGTTCGATTTAGGTTCATTTAGTATTTTGGTCCTTCTAGTTTTCTATTTCATACTTTGTAACTGTCTTGTTATAATTGGTATATTTATATGGGCCTTTAATTAATCAATGAAATATGCAGTTAATTTACACTCAAATGTTTCTTGTTCTTTCTTCACAGAAGTCATACTTCCAGTAGACATAGATGATTGTGGGAAGGAGCTGCTTCGCAATGACCTCGACCGACTCTCGAATTTGCCCCACGAGCCGAAACGGAGCAAGGGTGGCAACAAAGGATGGGATAGAAAAGTAGGAGTGACAGGCGTCGCGGTTGGGACCATTCGACACAGAGAAAGACGAGGCCGAATGATCCGCCTTGGGCAACAAGCGCCGCGCCAACAACTTGGCCAGTCGTTCCTCGTTGCGATATTCCCACTAGAGAATCTCGATCACCATCATCATTCTCCAGGCATTCGGAGAAAGTTGAGTGGGAGCCAAGCCTTTAGAAGAGAGGAAGGCTTGAGTGTAGAGGGAAAGAGGGAGCCTTACTCCATTATCGAACATATGAGGATATAAACCTACTTAGCTCAGCGGATGGTGATCGATTCACTCGTCGTCAGTAGGGAAACGCATAAAGACATACTCTGGAATGCGACAAGTCGAGCATATTGTTTCCAACACCTCGTTGGCGACGTTTGACGAAACAATATGGACGGCTGAAGGTTGGCCTTCATCAGGAGTATAACTTTTCTTCTTTGACCCAACCATTGAGAAGAAAGGGATGACGAGAAATGAGTGTTTGCTCACTGAAGATGAATTTTGAAAGCTGAAATCACAACACCCCTTGACAGCAATGACAAACGAAAGAGACAAGAAAGTGAAGAAAGAAAAGGGCGGACGTGAAACCTACTTAAAAGGAAGCGTCACTCGCCGTACAAGCTGCTTCAGATCCCAACGACTCGTAAAAATCACAACAGACGCATGACACCACAACGTTCTATGTAAGGAGACGTGAAAGCCTGTAAGATGTCGAAGAAGCCAGACGGCCAACGCTTGGCCCATACTTGAATTCGAGAAGGCGACCTTTGACGCACGCGAACAACCCCACGTACGCGTTCGCTCACATTAATGCTTCCTGACCAGGGTTCTACCTATTCGGGTCAATCCAACTCGAAAGCAAGGCTAACTGTTAACGGTGGAAATTAGGCATTAAACGTGGGGGGCACGCAAGACGACACATTGAAGTGGAGACCAACCCCACTACAAAAGTACAACCAAGCGACACTGAGGCTAACATTGATGTGCAAACAGTTGCAGAATGTGCCCTATCGCATAACGCTTGCAACGTGTCAGGGTGTAGGTGACGGGTGCGATACCACGCACTGAGAATGTCCCTTCATTGCCCACCAGAGCCCATACACGCATGACGGTCCACCACACTCTACACTGAGCGTCCTTCCTGGTCGGCTCCGTCACCTATAAAAGGTATAAGATCCCACCTCACAAGGAAAGTAAAAGAAAAAAAATGTCATTCAATATTTCTCTAGTTTACTCCTCTCTTCCGATTTACTAACTTGATTGTTGGAAGATCGTAGGTTGGACACTACACCAGTGTCGAGATATGTTGCTGCAGGTTGATTTGTTCGACCTCGAATCGAAGAACACATGGAATAGTCGAATTTCGACATCAACATTCATAGTTATTGACGAAGAATAATCATACTAATAGCTAATGTATGCATATTCTCATTTTTATAATATTTTATTTAAATTATGCTAAGAGTTTACCAATCATAGTGTCATTTAGTTAAAACAGTTGTAGAATCAAACTTTTAACCTTTCAATTGTGATTTGATTGATTTTACCCATAAAGCAACCTTGTGGACATAATTTAATGGAAGATGGTTTAGTGCAACCACCTGTTGGCTACCCCAAGATTAACGTTCATGTGCCTCGATTTTATGGATCGATTTTTCCCTTTTTCAAGGTTAGAAAGTGTGCCCTTTTTATTTGACTTTTCAAATTTCAACAACCAATTACCTTTCATACACTATCTCTGTCTCTTTCATATATTTCAAAAAGCAAACAGTTTTGAAAGTTATTCTTAGTGATTAAGGTAAAATCAATAAAATCTAGTTTTTTTTTTTCTAGCACCGAATATAATTTAGTTTGAATCTCATTCTGTCTTCAAACATCTTAGATGATTCAACTTTTACTGCTTGAACTAATATTTATTTTGGTACTAATGTCTATTTTAATTTTTCTGTTTTTTTTTAAAAAATTGATCATTTTGATTTTTATTGCCACTCTACTGGCAACATGTTGATGTGAGTGTAGTTGAAGTCCGACTAATCCGACATTGGATGGTAAAATAATTCCAATGTAAAAAAAATTTTTCAAAAATACTTAAGTACAACATTAGACGCAACCTTCTGATCGAACATAAGTTTCTTGACCCCATTATCGATTGAGCTATGTTTAGGTTAACACAAAAAAATTGACATTTTAAAGGTTTAAGAATCAAATAACATTGTGAAGATTTAAGAACCAAAATGGTTATATTATTGTAAATAATATATATATTCTCCCTAAAATAGAGTATATATGTAATCTCATCATCAGAATAGGAAACAAACCAGAAATGTACAAAATTGGCCTTTAAAATTCACATTATACATCACTTACAATATTTTTACAAGGCTCGTAAGCTGGCAAACATAGGTTAAGAGTAATTACAACCTGATTATACATACAAAGAAAGTGCAGTAAACTTTGGTAGCACCTAGCAGTATATATAGTGTATCATCATATATTAACAGACGCCATTAACCACAGCAGATCCCAAAACTTTTTCAGCAGTTTCAGCAAAACTATGTCTTGTTTGAAGCTGAAGAAGACGACGTTTCGAAATAAGTGGGTCTGGCATTAGAAGGGCAGCCCATCGCCTGGACTAGCTCTTCCACGGAGAGAACCCGAAACTTGGGAGGTGGCGAATTGAGAGCTATATTATCGACACGGTGCTCGTAGATTTTACCTTCCTTGTCAAGCTTATACTCGGAGGTCCCGTCAAATCGACTGCGGCTCTCCCATGGGATTCGTGGGATGCCATGAACGGTCCATCGAACCATGATGACGCTTTCCATTGGCTGCCATACACCAATGATATCGACCCACAAAGCCCTGAAAAAGATCCTTCCATGGAATCGTAGCCCCCACAAGATTGACTTGTAATTCTCAATGCCAGTGAAAGTGTTAAGAGGATCTTTGAAAACAATATCATCCCTTTGCATATAAGTAAGAACAGGAGAAAAATTAGAATATTACTAAAGAAGATAAGCTAGAACAATTGAATATAAGCAATTTGAAAAGAACTTGTCCTTTCAAAGAACAATTCCAATTGCATATAATCAGCATCAAATTTTTGTGTTACGTGGTGAAATGCCCAAACATATCCCATTTGAACAGTTATCAAATAACACAACTTCTAGATTATCCATTTCCATTACCAATCCGAACATAGCTCAACTAGTTAATAAGGCATATAGCCTTGATCTTTGGTCGAGGTTCAAATCCTCACCCTCACATGCTGAAGTAAAAAAAATATATATATATCCATCCACATCTTGTATTCAAAAATCAAAATCAATAATTGAATTGGTATTCTTCAAAGATGGTTAGGAATAGAATCTTGCAAACTAGTTAATTATCCATCTCCAGTGTCATTCTAGCCCAAATAGTTAATAAGACATTATCCTCGACCAAAAGGTCGAAAGTTCAAATACCCCATCCTCGCGTTGAACTTAAAAAAAAAAATTATCCATCCACATCCGTATTCAATAATCATCACTAATTGAATTGTTGTTCTCTGAAGATGGTTAGGAATAGAATCTGGCAGACTTTTAGTGTGCACATTAAGCAAAGTTATTCTAAATAGCTCTTTTCATTTTTTTTCCCCTTCATGGCTTGTGGCCTTTATTTTTGTGCTTTCTCATCAATAATATATATTCACACACTATAAGCCATACCCATTTATTACTATTATTGCTATTATTATTTTGGTAAGAAACGATTTAATAGAGACTGAAAATACAAGAGGGGTAGGAAAGTGAAGCAACCCCAAGGAGATAACAAAAAGGTTCTTCCAATTGGCCAAAAGAGTATTAGTTCTATAGTTTTTGAAAGGAGAAGTTTACGCCAGGAAAGAGCTAAAAAAGGATTAAGAATCTATAAACCAATCAAATGATTTTTCTTTCAATATTGTTTGAAAATTCTATTGTTCCTGTCGAGCGAAAAGGTCCCAAAAAAAAGCTCTAACAAAGTGAAGCTAAAGGTTTTTCTTGTCTTTTTTGTATGGATGCCTCACCAGTATCAAGGGAAGAAGGTGTTCGTGTCCTTGGCAAGGACCAAAAGCCAATTAAATATGGGAAGTACAATATCCCAGGAAACAGAAAAAGAGAAGTAAAGTGGAAAGTACGAGCCTGTTTGGTAACGTTCTCGTTTTTTATTTTGGTACTGTTCCTATTTCTTGTTTGTTGTAACGAAAAACAAAAAACAAGAACATTACCAAACGAGTCTTACAAAACTCCAGCAAGAGCCCGATGAGAAACTTGTAAAGGGTAAACCACCTTGGCAAAGTCACATAGGAAGGGAGGCCTTTTTGGATCTAATCATGGGTGTTTAGGCCCCGTGAGACTAAGCTCCCAAATGAACATTTTGACTTTTTTTGGGTAGCAGTCCTTCCAATGACATCATAAAGAAGATAGAGAGGGAGCAACTACAAGGAAATGCAAGGAACTCATTGTCTTAAGTGACTCGGAGGACGAGACCAATTAAAATGAGGATGAAGCAGTCAAGACAAAAACTAATAATTAGTATGTTTGTGTGGAGTCTTCCACTCCTTCGAAACTTGTCTGAACAAGGAGAAAATAGGCCGTGGATGGAGAAGATAGAAGCCAAGTAACCAAGGGGGACACACCTATAGAGAATGAAGGGAGTGAGAAAATGCTTTGAAATCCGCCGAAATGATTTTTGCTTTCACGCTCAAATGTTTTCTTTGTTTTTTCAATCTTGTGTTTTTTCAAGTTTATTTGAAAAAAATCCTTGTATTGCCCGTTGATAGGCAAAAAGATAAACTCTTTTGTGTTTGTAAAAATTCTTTTTATACAACACTTCCAGAGAGGTCAGCGTAGAGACTTGTACCTTTGATGCTTGGGTGAAAAGCATCTGACCCATGTTTCATTCGTTAGAGAATGAAGTTACCCTCAACGAGTTCGTCGAGAGGCCTTAAGTGAAGGAGGTTTGTTACTAGGGTGGAATCAAAGACGACTAGTTTGGCGAGATGAGCCAAGACCAAAAGCACATAAGCATTCGTGGGATCAAGGTGTGACGATGTTGGTATCAGAGCGCGGTTTTTTCTTTATTTGAAATTGTTTGATGCTCTTTCACTCACTTCCTGTTTCTAGCCTTTTTCTTGAGAGATGTCCAAAAGTTTGCTACTTGAATCTTCGTTCTTCTTTTTTTGGTAGAGATAAATGGACAGAGATCTAGAAGTGAGGGTAGCAAAGCTCAAAAGACAAATTGGGTTGTCAGTGGGTACCATGTTGGGAATTCTATAGGATCGCATTCCATCCCGACAGTTGTACCTTCCTTCTTGTAACATAATTCAAGTTAGGTAGGAATATGGGGCTATTTCCCCATAATTCGTGTGTTGTGCTTGCTTTATTTGTTGTTGTGTTCTTTTGTGATTGTGCTCATCCTGGGTTAGTGAGTGAAGGCCGACTAAGATTGAGTCCTTAGCACAAAGCAAAAAGTTCATAGGAGGATTTTAGCACTGTGCCAGTTGGTATCAAAGCGTGGTTTTTATCTTTGATGGATAATTCCTCACAAGCCAATCAGTATGACTGAGCCAGTTCGTGATCATGTAAGTCGTCTCAAGGACTACGTGGTGTTCCAAAGGAGGGAATGTCGTCTCTTGGAGAAGTGGTGGCACAAAACGATAGTTGATTCAAAGAGATTCAAGTTTCTTTTAGTAGTACTTCATGGCAGAGATCGGGGAATGGTTGAAAATGGTGGTAGGTGAACTTGATTCTTATTCTTTTACTATTTCAACTAAACTTGATGTGTTGAAGGGTGAACGAGTAATGAAGTCCCATTGGTAAAGAGAGCCCTCATCGGGACTCCTTTCAAAGACAACACTGCCTCGACTAAGGTGAAGATTCTGGAACCAAAGGCATTCCATGGACTACTTCGAAGCTGCACAGATCCCGGATGAAGGTAGAGTGGGCATAGCAAGCATGTACCTCTCCGGGGACGCCAAACTTTGATAGCGTACGCATCTTCAATGAAGATGCGGTAAGACCAAGAATAGAAGCATGGGAGACCATGGAAAAGGAGTTGAAGGATCCTCTCCTACCTTGTAATACATCATGGGTTGCAAGGAAGGCTCTCAAAAAGCTGAAGCATACAGTAACAGTGAAAGATTATATTAAAGAGTTCAATTTGCTTATGCTAGACGTCCATAACATGTCCAAAGAGGACAAGCTTTTCAATTTTTTCTCAAGTTTACAACCGTGGGCACAAATCGAATTGATAAGACGAGGTGTGAAGGATTTACCTATGACCGTTGCAGCAGCGGATGCCTTGGTGGACTATCATTTCATTAACACACCTTCCATGGAGGAGAAGAAGGAAGAGAATGGCAAGAGGCCCGAGGCTTATTGTAAGTTCAAGAAGAATTTTAACAAAGGCAAAGGGAAGCTTTCCCAATCTTCTTCATCTAACTCGGCCCATGTGGGATGATGCATAGAGTGCGGGACTGCTTGAAGAGAGAAAAGCTAAATGCTTTTTATGCTTGAAGAGGCTAAGAAGGAGGTTACAAGGTGTACAAAGCATGGGAATACGGAAGATGAAAAAGAAAAAGAGACATGATGTAGCTCATCATGTAAATCCACTACAGCTACTTAATGACATGGTAATAACCCAGGAGTCTGTGCAAAAGAGGTTGATGCATGTGTTGGTCCTTGTGAATGGACAAGTGGTGATAGAAATACTAGACAATAGACAATAGAGCTACCAACAAATTTCTGTCAACCAAGATCGTGACTAAGTTGGGTTTGGAGGTTCAAAGAGTGAAACTCGAGTCAAGACTGTAAATTTGACAATCCAGTCAATACACGGCATGGCGGTCGCAAGGGTTAAACTGGATCTTTGGGAAGACCAATGTAATCTCATGGAGGTAACATACAGAAAAGTTGCACATTCTACCAATAAAGATAAACCATCCATTAAATTTAGACGACCACTGCACTAAAGGCCAAAAGACTGGTATGCCTATGAGCTTATGAGAAACTGCATCATCTAGAATTAATTACAAAAGGACTAACTAATCCCCAAAATTCTTCCTATCCCCCAAATTTCTAACCCCCACTATTTATTACCATCCACTCTAACCAACTTCCTAAGAATCATTTTTGAAGGAAACATAACTTTTCATTGATGAAATGAAAAATTACCCGAAACGATAACAACTTGCTTAGGAAAAGATTCATCAAGCAACTAAATACAACTAGATACAAAAAATACCCATCAAACCATAACATCAAAAGAACAGACACTTGACCATCTAGAACATTTGCAAAAGATAAAACAAGCATATCTCCAAATTTAAAAAATAACAAGATATTAGACCACCACCAACATCTTCTAGCTGAGCACCCACATTAGTCGAAGTAAAAGGCAAACCCAAAGAGCAGCTTCAATGAACCCAGATGTTTCCAATAATAGCATCGCCTGAATCTTTCCTCACTTGCATGTTCACCAGCACAACCAGAAACTTTCCTTGGCTTTTCAAACCAGCAGCAACAAAGCTCAAAAGGATAACCATGACTATAACAGAAATAAAATCTTTCCACACCTTTTAAGGAAAAAAACTCCATCGCATTGGAGAATTCACAAATATCAGAATTTTACTTCATCTTCTCTCTTTCGTTTCCCCCCTCCCCCTTTTCCTTTCTTCTTCCCACTGTCTCCACGTATTTTTTTCTTCTTCTTCTAAATTTTTTCCTTCTACTTTGCTCTTCCCTTTTTTTCCCTCTCTTTCTCATCTCTCTTTTTTCTCAACACTTGGTCTTTTTTTCTGTTTTCCATTTTCTTTCAAAATCCTCTCCTTCTTCTATTTATCCCAAAATACAAAAACACAATATCTTGCTATTCCTACTGCTCCCACCACAGGGCAACTACATAAAATTAATACTCTAACATATTATACCACTACTAATATCATAATAAGATTGCCAATAGCTCCTTATTAATACTCTAACATGCACCCACCATCATCGCACAAGTTGCTAAGCATCAAGTCCCCTCACATCAACCAACTAGAGCTTCTTACACTCTCCAAAACACCAGATTATATTGAGAAGAATGTCAGTCACACACATAAAACTAAAGGTTAAATCTATCGAACAAGCAGAAATCAAGGACCACGAAGGTTCCTTTCAGTACATCCTTTGTCAAGTATTGGTATCCAATACCACTATGAAAGTTCCTTTCAGTACATCCTAATGACACCAAGAACAATGACCCTGGTACCTTAAACTCCAAACTGACTCCACAATGTTTCTATCCACATCAAAATTTCTCACGCAAAGTAATGACCTTAGCATCTCCTTAACAAATCTCTAATTAGGCCTCTTTTTGGCAAGCCTCTGAACCATACGAAGGGCACTCCAATAGGCTATACCATTCAATTAGACAAACGGGTTTCACAAAGGTTAAAGGAAGTTAACGACCTATTGAATCAAATTGTGTTTTTATTCTAATTCCTATTGTGGATTTCTTAGACAACATCCTTATCACACAAGTTGCTAAGTGTTGTGGGCATGCTTGTCCAGGGTGTGTTCCCCATGGCCGCATGTCCAAACCATCCTCACCACTCGCTTTCCTTTCATGTCTTTAAAGCTTTCTAGTGTAATTTTCTTGTATCGGGTTTTTGGGGTTGTAGGTGGAATTTGGCCGAGCGGCTTTGGAACTAGGTGTGTATTAGTAAGATATGTGAGCACGCCAAATTTCAAGCCAATCGGAGTTCACACGGGCCCTGTAGGCCACCGAGTGACTCCTCACCACTTAGGACGTCTACACCTGTCACACCAAAAATGCCTTATAATGTACCTTAGGGGAGACCAAGTAGTCATCAAACCTCCCCCCGACCAACTGTTGTATGCTTTCTTGCAATCAAAGCTTTCTTGCATCAAATGTCTACAATGCTTGTTTTAAAGATGTTTTCAACTGTTTTTCTCTCTCACGTTTTCTAAAACCAATTTTCTCCTAAAACGTGAGCGGAGGCTAGACCCACGACCGAGATTGTCCGCAACTTACAGTTTTTCCCGGCTGACTTGCTCGTTTGAGCTAGAGCAAGTGCCGCACAATCACTCGAGCTGCTTTGAAAAGGTGCGATTGTGACACTAAGCACCAAATCCCCTCACATCAACTCACCACCAGAGTTTTCAACTCCTTTCTCTAAAACACCTGATTTCCTTGAGAATAATGCGATCGTGCAAACCAAAAACTAAAAGGTACGTCCAACATACAAGAAAAAATCTAAAACCACGAACATCCTTTACCAAATAGATCCATCATCCCACAAAATTAAAATCCCATTAGCAATGTTAAAGACACCAGGAATGATTATCCAGTACCTTCCAGAACTTTGGTGAGAAACAGAGAGGATATATTAAAAAAAGGCCAGAGAAAAGCAACCTGCAGGCCATGGGGAGAAGAAGCCCTTATGCCAGGAAGCACAAACGGCCTCCAACCTAAATTGACTACACAATGTTGCAATCTATCTTCTCCAATTTACTCCAACAAAGAGACAACATCTTCCTCCCAACAAATCTCTAATTAGGCTTTTTTCTCTTGCAAGCCCCTGAATCCCTAATATTCCCGTACAGTGTTTATAAACTTCAAAGAGCCTCTGAAGGCAGAGCAACTTCTTTTGATAGTTTTTGCAATAGTGTACAGCTCACCTCATACATGATTGGAAAGCTACTCTTTGGTAGTCTTGGGAGGGGTTGGTTCCCTCTTCCCCTCATTTGTTCTAATATATCAGGCTTCTTATCAAAGAAAAATTAAAACAAAAGTAAGGACCCCTCCAAAGCTTCATGTTGAAACCTTCTCTTCAAGTCCTGAAGCCTGCTGCAAAAGAAAA